AACACCACCAGTGCACCACCAGTGAACACAACACCACCAACAGAACCACAGCACCACCAGTGAACACAACACCACCAACAGCACCACCAGTGAACACAACAACACCACACAACACCACCAGTGAACACAACACCACCAACACCACCAGTGAACACAACACCACCAACAGCACCACCAGTGAACACAACACCACCACACCAGTGAACACAAACCACCAGTGAACACAACACCACCAGTGAACACAACACCACCAACAGCACCACCAGTGAACACAACACCACCAGTGAACACAACACCACCAACAGTGAACACAACACCACCAACACAACACCACCAGTGAACACAACACCACCAGTGAACACAACACCACCACCAGTGAACACAACACCACCACACAACACCACCAGTGAACACAGCACCACCAGTGAACACAACACCACCACCAGTGAACACAACACCACCAGTGACACACAACACCACCAACAGCACCACCAGTGAACACAACACCACCAACAGCACCACCAGTGAACACAACACACCAAACACCACCACCAGTGAACACAACACACACCACACCAGTGACCAGTGAACACACACCACCAGTGAACACAACACCACCAGTGAACACAACACCACCAACAGCACCACCAGTGAACACAACACCACCAACAGCACCACCAGTGAACACAACACCACCAACAGCACCACCAGTGAACACAACACCACCACCAGTGAACACAACACCACCAACAGCACCACCAGTGAACACAACACCACCACCAGTGAACACAACACCACCACCAGTGAACACAACACCACCAGTGAACACAACAGCACCACCAGTGAACACAACACCACCAGTGAACACAACACCACCACCAGTGAACACAACACCAGTGAACACACCACCAGTGAACACAACAGCACCACCAGTGAACACAACGACACTAGTGTACACAACACCACTGGCACCCATACAAACAGTACCACCAGCACATGACGGTGGTGCAACACCACATACAACACCACCAGTGAACACACTCACCAGCAACAACACCGCACACAGTACATCTGATGACCAACACCTCCACGATGGATAACCACGCTGAAGAAAGTCTCGCTATCCTACAATGGAACTGCAATGGCGTTCGCAATAGAATTAATGACATCATACAATACGCTCGTGAACACCAAACTGACGTCATAGTGCTACAGGAGACAATGGTAGGTGATGACTTCAGCCCAAGGTTCAGCGGTTATCGCAAGTTCTCCCTGCCACATGGGGAAAGAAAACGGGGTCTCATCACTTTTTGTAAATAACATTCCCGCACAGATTATTGATGACCTGCACATGGGGGATGAGTTTGAATCACGGAGTAACCCTTTACTTAAACAATAATGCCCTACATATAATCAACCTATATGTGCCACAGTAAACTTGACCTTGACGCACTGCCTGAGTTTGTTAATGAAGAACCTACCCTGCTGGTTGGTGACCTGAATGCCAGACACCCACACTTTGGTGCCAACTGTCACCAGCCCAATGTCAATGGACGGAAACTGTCACTCTGTCAGGGGAAGTGAAAACCTTAGGGTCCTGGGTGATGAACAGTCAACTCACCTCAGAGGAGGAAGATTAGACTATGCTCTCCTGCTGAATGCACAGGACACGGATGCCAGTACACACATTGTGCACAGTTTATGTAGTGACCATTGGGCACTGATTACCACCGTCGACATGAGCAAGAGAAGGAAAGAGAAATAAAAGAAAAAGGTTATCACTCGGACCAGATATGAGGCCGCACTTCATAAACAGGACGAGTGACTGGTTCACGGAATACCAAATCCCAGAAGACATTAACACATTTGTTGATGACCTTAACCACCAAATTGAGAGCTGTCTAAGAGTTCCGCGCCGTACGCCTGGGCGAAGTAACCCTCAGAGGAAGAAAATAAAATGGTATGAGAATGATTACATAAAGATGCTTAACGCAAATGTGCGAGACATGAGTAGAGAGTACCGGAGACATCCCACTGAAAGTAACCAAGAGTTGTTTAAAACTGTGTGTCAAGTAGCCAGGGAAGAGAAGATTAAAGAGCGGGAAAGACAATGGCTTGAGTTCACTAGCTCTATTGGACGGGAAACATCTGCAAGACAAGTGTGGGCAAAAATTCAGATAGCTAAGGGGGGCAGAGCCCGGCCTGCGGCTCACAAAGACCCCCAGGGTAAGGCTGAGGAACTAATTCACAAGTGGAGTGATGCAGCATCCTCCTCCTCCCTCCCTGCAGAAATCAGCAGGGAACAGCTCCTGCGACATGATGACAGAAGAATTAGGATAACAAGAGCACTGTCTAGTGATGACGAATATGGGGAACCAATCACAGCCCAAGAAGTAAGGGGCGCTATGAAAAAGGGTAAAAGTACAGCACCTGGTGAAGATGGCGTCACCTACGACATACTCAATGCACTGTGTGAAGTGTCTGGGAATCCACTACTCCACCTGTTTAACAAGTCATTCCTAAGTGGAGTGTTGCCCACACAATGGAAACACGCAATAATTATTCCCATACCGAAGCCTAATGACCCTGGTAATTACAGACCTATCAGCCTCGTGTCATGCACTTGCAAGATGCTTGAAAGGATCATCCTAAACCGACTGTTGCACAAAATAGGCAGGTTAGGGGAGGGGGTCAATGGATTTGTTAAAGGACGGAGCACAGCAAATTGTATAGTTAATTACTTGGCTAATGACACGGCTAGGTACTCTGTATTTGTTGACATCAAAGGAGCCTTCGACAAAGCACAGGGGATTGCGATCCTGGACGAGCTTGCATGCATGGGTGTCAAGGGGAGACTCATGAAATGGGTTGAAGACTACCTCACAGGAAGGAAAGCCAAGGTTTGCTTCAATGGAGCAGTCTCCAGAACAATGAATATGGAACTCGGGACCCCCCAAGGCGGAGTCTTAAGCCCTACACTATTCAATGTACTTATGAACGCCATTGCAAATATTGATTTTCCGGAAGGAACACAACAAGTGGGATATGCAGATGATGTCCTAATACAAGCTCCCACCTTGGGAAAAATTGAACAGTCCATTGAACTCCTCGGAAGGAAATGTATTGAGCTCGGTTTCACTCTCTCCACAAACAAGACGAAGGCATACTCCCATCACAAGCGGAGAGCAAATGAAGAACTGCAAATTAATGGTGTAACACTTGAATGGGTTGACCACTATCGGTACCTTGGCGTCACTGTCGGCTCTAACAAGGGAAAGAAAGAGGAGCTCAATCAACTCATAGGAACATGCAAAAGTCGACTCAGGGCACTGAAAGCTATGACCTGGAATGGACATGGAGCCTCTATTGCCGTGCTCAAAATGATGTACACAGCCTATGTGCGCTCCGTCATAGACTATGCCGCACCAGTACTGTGCACCTACTCCCAAAGCGATATGAAAAGGCTTGAAAGCATTCAAAATGAAGCCATGACAATCATTCTTGGAGTCCCAAGAACTGCCAAAACGTCTAATCTACGAGAGGAGTTGTCCCTTCCCAGTATTAAAAGCAGAATTCAGGAGCTGAATGCTAAGCTTGCAATTAGGATAGCCAGAGATCCCCATTACAATGATATTGCCAAGAAAAAACTGAGCTCTGTGCTACTTTCAGGGGGAAACAGGAGAAGCAAAAAATGGCATCACAGAGCAGTCTGCTACCTTGAAGAGCTTCACCTGCTTGAGCAAGCCCGTGAGCTCCTGCCTGTAGAGAGGTTACCTCCCTGGGAGGATGACTCATGCAAGATCATCATCAATGAAATGGCAATGAAAAAATCCAACATGATACCACAAGAAATGAGGCACAAGTATCTCGAGGACATTTATAAAGAAGCCGGAGATGAACTAGATCAAATCTACACTGACGGGTCATCTAATCCTATCAATGGCAGGGCTGGTGCAGCATACACGGTAATCAAGGATAATACCTTCCAACGCAGAAATGAAGAAAAAGCACGTATTGAGAACTATGCCTCTTCAACGCAAGCAGAGCTAACTGCCATTGTTATGGCGTTAAGGTTTCTTGAACGGAACACTAATGGTGCAGTGATTTGCACCGATTCAAAAGCAGCACTGCAAAGCCTAAGTAAAAATCAGGCAGAAAATCTTGCAATAGTCGCTGAAATCAAGAGAGCTGTGAGAGTACTTACCAATCAGGGAAGAGTCATCAAGTTTCTGTGGATCCCCTCCCATGTTGGAATATGTGGGAATGAACGAGCAGATGTGCTGGCTGCTGAAGGCGCTGAAGGAGACCATATTGAATACTTCATACCCAAGACTCAACTACAAATTAGAGGTATTATCAGGCAACATCACCGTGACAAGGTAACTGAGGAAAGGAGGATAGAAGCACAAACCAGTGAATCTGTACGATGGTACAACATGGTTGCAGCTGGCAATCCCAATCAGTATGGCCGAAGAGGAGGACGACGAGGGAGAGAATCTGTAATAGCGAGAATCCGTCTTGGATACAAATATCCATGGAGATTTGGAATGGAAACAACAGTTGATCAGCGAAGTTGCAGAATCTGTGGTGAGAGTGATGGACACCGCCTTGACCACTATCTACGTGAATGTGAACACCTGAGAGACATTAGGAATAACTGTAGAATAATAAACCCCACATTGTTTGAGTTAGGAAAACACTATTTGTCAAATATTGATACTGTTCTTAAAAGATTTCCCCATTTTGCACCCGCAAGATAACGTAAGCTTTTAAGGGTTGATAAATGTTAATCTTCTTGTTTGAGGAGCTGTTCACTTGAGACAGTTAAGCAAGTCCCAGCTGTGTCTGGGTACAAGTGACAGGATGAACAACCCAGCGGGTTTTCTTCCTATTGGGGAGTGTTGTACATTCTGCTATGGCGGTATGTTCACTCACAAGATGAGTGGCGCTGCCCAATAAACTCGCCCCTCGGGGCAAAATTTAAAAAAAAAATGGTCTTGTCACCATTAATTGATAACTCCTCCATAACTGAAGTAATCTTGATGAGAGTAAGCTTTACTCCAGGAGATAATTAGAACTTTAGATTTTGGTTATTGACCTTTATCAATGGCCGTACACATTTTTTCTTTGCTGTTCCATGATAGGCTAATAAACTGCCTAAATAGCAATATTTTTCAAATCGCTATAAACATTTGAGAAGGCATCATCCCCTAATTTAATGTAGTTAACTTCACGTCTAACCATTTGCCCATTACACTAATAAAGCTACCTTTATATATGGAACTATTCTATCCTATTACAAAAATGGAATAAGGGTGATGCAATGTAGCGTGTTCATCTTCAATTTTGTGTTCATCTTGTGTTAGCGTCTTCATCTTTATAGCTATACTGCAACTGGAATTAAAATTACTATATTAGTATTCACAAATCAATCTAGTTTTATTGCATGAAAGAAAATTTGACAATTTATTAACCATTATGAAATTTAGATGACCTTTTCTTCTAAATTTCATAGGTATGGAAACTCTCATAGCAATGTTGGCCTACTCTACTACAGAGATAGGATGCAGGAATAGACAAGTGGAAATTAAGAGTGATACCTACTGGGGAGTTAGAGGAACCAGGTTTGTGATGTGTGCAAGATACTGTGAGAGTCTCGGGTGAGGAGGGAGAACGAGAGGAGGGAGAACGAGAGCAGACAAAACAGATGGCTGGAATGAGGATGGATTCCAACTTTGAGGGACATTTGTCTGGGAGAATGAAAAAACAGGATAGGGCTGAGAAGGAAGACTAGGTCAAAGGTGAAGGTCACAGTGGTTGTAGAAGTGGGAGGAGGTGGAGAAGTGCTGCAAATGTTGCGAGAAGACTGGAAAGGGTGGAACTCCAGTTGGGCATAAATGGTATAAGGAATAAAGACGAACACTTACTCGAAGGTTAAACCCCACTCCCAGCTGGTGCACTGTACCGGGAAGAAACGGTAGGTTTTCTGAGATGTGCATTAAGGCATAAAGAGATTTTGCTATGATTTACCGGATTAAAGTCCGGTTTCGATGTTAAACCAACTTCACCCGGTCCCAGATACTATCGAAAATAGTTATCACCAACCCAGCACCAGTGGACGTCGGCGCAGAACTGAAGCGAGGAAGCTCTGGAACAACTGCTCCAGAACATCATGATGCCCTTCGAAATGCTGAACTGATCTTGCCTACCCGTCGCTATCTGGCTGATAGAAAAATTTGTCAGCCGAATCCATGATAACTTGCTCTGAACTCTACAGCTGCTGCAGCAGCAAACCCAAGCAGTGGAAAACGGCTTCAGATGCCTCGACATATCAATCATCCCAGACACCGTAAAGAACGCTACCACCTATGCCAATACTACAATTACGACCACTACACCAGGCACTAGACACAGGAAAAGTGGAACATCTGCACTGAAAATCATTACAAAGTCTTCCAGTCGACCACTCATCGGTGCATCAACTGTGGAGGACCACATATCACAGTTTCCTTGGACTGTCCAAGAGAAACTGAAGAAATTCAGAAATCGACACCTCACATCAGTCGGCGAGCTTCAACATCAAAGTCACGACGTTCCAAACTCGACCCAAATCCACTGCTTCAACAGTCTGCACAGACTCCTCACTACTGGGGCCCCAATTCACAGGCGACGGCAGCCCAGTCCACCAGGTCATCAACCAATCAATCAGCGGCCTCTGCTGCCATCACCCCTGGTCCCTGTACTGATTCACCTTGCAGAGAAGCTCGCAAGAACAGACATTGTCAAGTACGTGAAGATACTCGACAGACTGCTTGCTGCAAACGGTCTACCCAAGATGTCTGTTCCAGTAGACCTAATACTGCCTCCGCAAGCTACCTCAACTCAATGAGGGCAGACCCGAACAGCAACCGTACCAATAAAGTATCAAGCAACAATATCAACGACAGGTGGTGGAACTGACAGCAGTGCTAGCAGCACATACTCAAGCACCAGCTACTGCACTAACCCAAACCACTTCAGACCCGAGAGCCCAGCACCCATTGGTTACCTCAACTTCCACCGCTGACGTGCGCCTAAAACCGACAAAGGCAAACCAAGATCAAGCAGCTGCAACAGCAACCGAACCAGCAACTCAACCAGCGAACGACGAGGAACTTTAAATCTCCTATATCGAACCCGATGAAGGCAGGAAACGCAAGGTTGACAGGAGATGGTCCTGTTACTGTCTTCATCGCAGCTGAAGCCAACTTCCATGGTAACAGCAGTACAAGACAAATGGCCCTAAAATGCAACCGGATCATCGCCAACAAGAACCCAAACAAATTTCACATCAGAATGCTTGTCCACAACACAATGGACCATCACACTGATTCAGAAATCGAATCACCTCTACTACCTGAAGTACTTCGACCTAAAATACCGTCCAATTGAGGGGACTGAAATCACCTACGAATCCGAAGACCCGGAAGGAACCCTGCTACCACAGGTGATGTGCGAACACCGAAGATACATCAAATTTTAGTCAATAGACCAAACAGTCCAACTCAATAGAGAAGACGCCTCCTCCAAGCAAGATAGAGCACCTCACAAACTAGGACCAACAGCCAACCACCTCAGCACTAGCCTCCTGCCGCAGAATAAGAACAAGAGATCAACGTAAATAAAGCTCTAAGCCAAGATCAATACATCATGCCAACCCATGGTGGATAGGCCACCAAACTATCAAGCCTCTGCTATCTCCACATCCAAATCCTCTTCCAAGAATTTCACCGCCCCATCCCTCTCCCTTCCCCATCCTTTCCAAGTCCTTAGGATATCAAATCTGAATCGGATGCCAGTTGGTGATCATTGATGAACACCCTCGGCCTCAGATAAAGAAGAGGGAGAGCTGGTGGAGGTTCAAGTCTGAGACTTGTGGAGCTGAGGAAAGGGAAGAAAAGAGCTATTCAAAGCACGGGAATAACTTGTCAGACTTAAGACGGCAGACCTCTGGGAAAAATACGCCTCGCATACATTACCAGGGTAGCGAGAGGCCAAGGGCTGGCCACTGCAGGAAGGGGCACTATCTCAAACTGCACCATTCCCCTTTTTAACAAGGGCGTCTTACAGCATCATATCCTTTATCACCAATTTGGACACCCAACTCGCCTCCAAGGGCGGCTCCCCACGGGCAACCCCTCCTGCGAGTGGTCTGATGACCACAACAGGATCCTTACAGGTTCAGTTATGAATATACAACACCCAGAGGGATGGGTTGCGAGGTAGGTGGTGGTGTGAGGAACCCCCCCCCCCCCCCCCACACACTGACTGGTCGTACACAAGACTTTCCTTCCCCACCATCTCAAGGTGAAACTTAGAGGGGTGGGTGGGTACCTGATCAAGTAACTTTCATACAATGAACGAACTCCAATTTTGCCCTTTGGCAGGCTAAACGATGCGCTTTTGTCCTCACTGGGGAACGACACGCGCCACTGCCCCGCATGTAAATATGCCAGGAGGCAGGTGGCAAACAGGAGTCCTCATAATATTTGACAAACGAGCCCCTAGCACACATGCTGTGAAAAAGGCACTGTCCTATTTCGGCAACAGAGGCCTGCCCTCATTTCAAAAAACTATCTGCTGCGGATCGAAGTGTTCCACAAATGTAGCAAGCCGCCAGTTTCCACCCTCCGTGGACTGTATAGCACAAGGGATGACTAGAGGACCGGGTCGGAAGCGACATGCGTCCCGAGATAGTGCCAGAGAACTTTAACGCCTGAGGGTTCGACCTCAGCAGAGTAGACCGCCTACTCCCCATTAAGGTGGAGCCGCCAACTAAGATACTCCCGCCTCTCACTCTACGGACGAACTCAGCCGGATTTTATTTACTTTGGCCTAGCATAGTTCGCGAAAGAGTAACGCAAATGATTGAGTCCAATAAATAAGTACACAGTGCATGTATGAGATGCGAATGCGCATAGTATATTATTTCGTTGGTATGTTCACCCTACTGACCGTCGGCTCGCAGTGGTAGCAGTTGCCATAGTTGTGCAACCCTTGCTGAAACCGAAGCGGTGGCGTGTCTGGCGCAAGCAGACGGCCAAATTCGGGTTTTCAGCGCGTTGGCTGGGGGCGGCGGCAGCAGCAGCCGCCGTGTTTGTTACTGGTGCTCGAGGGAGCAACCACCTGTCATGACGGAGGTGGTGCTGCTCCCGTGCTGTGCTTTGCCCTCGTCAAAAGGCGTAGCCAGAGTGCTCGCCGACGGGTGGCGTACTTAGGTGTGTGACTGCGCGCCGAGACGGTCGTATTGTCCCTTGACCGACCGCCCGAGCGATGATCATTAAGGTTCAGAAAAATACCAGCGTACGATAAAACCCACCGTCGACCTCGTCAATCTGAACGAACCTACCCGCCAAATTTACGCATAATAAGAGGCAAAGAAACCAACAGGGATTCCCTTAGTAAGGGCGACTGAACGGGGAAGAGCCCCGCACGTAACCTTGCGTCTTAACCGGCACGAAGGGTGTTTTGGAGGGTCTGGCACGCCGTCCCATATACCCTAAGTCAAGCTGACAATATACTCGCATCCAAATGTGATGTGCGCAAAGACTCTTCTACCAAGAAATTGTATATTGAACAAGGGCAGGATAGAACAGGTTAGTCAATCCTTTCCAACTAATATTTATGTTCATCTAGCAGTAGATAGGTACCTGGGAGTTAGGAAACTTATGGGGGTTGCATCCAGGAAGAGGTTCAATCGGGGGGGGGGGGGGGAGAGAGAAAGGGAAGGGAACTATTAGGGGTAAGGCGCCAAGCCATTACGACTATATAGCACGGGGTCAGGATAAGGATTTGGGATGGGACGGGAGGGAAGGAACGGTGCCCAACCACTTGTACGGTCGGGGATTGAACACCTACCCGCATGAAGAGGGGAGGGAGAGAGAGAAGGAAGGAGGGGACCTTGATGCAGGCTTCCTGGCCAACTATAATTATTACATTAATTTCAAACCAGTCTGTATCCCATTATTTTAAACACACTGCTCCCTTCATAAAAATTCACAATATTTAAAAGAACTACCAACTCCATGCATGATCTTAAAAGTCCTTCTCTATGGCTTTGTTAAAAACATTTTCAAAGTCTATAAAAGTCTATAAAGGCCATGAGGCTCCATGTAAATTTACCCCATTACCTTCATACGAGAACTTTTCATTATCGATCAATTTATCAGTCATCTCCAGCATACTTGTAATGCACTGCACTACACACTTTGCTTCTTTATATTAAAACATTCACACATTGAAACCACCCTATGTTTTCCACAGAACATGATGCACCAGTCATTTTACATCCACATGTCCCCAATTACAGCCGACTGCACTGGCAAATGTAGGAACTGTGGTCACATGCCCAACAGTTCAATTATTATAAGTCATACTGTACACATTCAAACCATCCATCCATACCACAACCATCTTCTTGAGTTGTTCACTCACTTTTTTTGTCTCGCAGCCGTACACAAGTGTCGGCAAAGTTTCATGCGACCTCTACTCCATACCCTGCATTCCCAGCTTCTACCCAGATCTTTAAATGCACCAGTACAATATCCTCTTGTCACTCCCAGGTCTTATAATTTATCAACCATTCCTAGCGCATCACATTCACAATTTCCACTTCACTTTTTAGTCACACATTCATGAATCTGATAAAAGGACAGTTTACATTCATACAACTGGTCATTTGATCAATACACAATACCCCTTTCGTTAATATATTAATAGTGAACCCATGCTTTACTAGCAGTGAAACTACTGCACTTATCAGCACTGTGCCAATTCCACATATGCTCACCTCCAGTCCTTTACTTACATGATACAGTACACATTCCCCCCTTTTGACTTTTTTCGGCAATTTACTGTACTATTTCATTCACTATCCACACTCACACAGCAGTTAGTAAATTAAAGTCTTACTTTTGAAAGGTTGAGCTGGTCTGCAAAATGTTAAATATCCTCGTATCCATTCTCTTCCAGCGTGTTCATCAATGCCATCAATCCAGATATTTCTGTAAAAATTAATCTTGTTACAATAAGAACCAAATGTAACGATTCAATACAGATCAATTTGTCTAGTCTGCTGTGCTTTAAACTGCTAAGAGATTTACGTATACAGTGTTCTATTACATGTAACTGCTGCGTGGGGAAATAGTTACATTTTGTTTTACTTTCAAGTCCCGTTACTACTAGGTTTGATCAATTACTCAAATAGTAGATTTAATTCACTGAATAAATATAAATCTAGAAAGGGGACAGATCAGAGGGAAACAACGCAAATAATTTTAATAAATTACTTTTAGTATTTCTAACATTTTATGCAGAGTTGTGGATACCTGCACGGTACACTTGACCCCCGCCAAAAATGGGATATGACCTAATAGGGCAGCGAGGGAGGCAGAGATCGAGCCATAGCAGAAAGTGCATAGTCAAGAGCTCTCCTTTTTCAACAGTAGTAGTCCTGCATCAAAAGCTCTCCAACGCACGAAGTACCACCTTGCCCCTACCCCTCGTGCCTCTGACCGAACCAAAACCTATCTCTGACAACAGCCTTTCTCAACGATCTGAGCAGGAACCCTAAGTTGGTACTGTAAGGGGGCAGGGGATGGGATAAAAGAAATTACACAAGACTAATAGCATTTTCATGCATGTTACTGAAGGACTTGCCTCCTAGGTCTAGGCATAATCATCCTGGTACTATAGCCGCCGCCACCATCGCCACTACCCGCGCCACACTAAGACCACAACGCCTCACAGGCCGGGTTTCCTCGTTTTGCATGGGATAAACTCTTAAAGAGAGCCCTTGTTGGCCTACGTGTTAAAAAGAGTGCAGTGATAAACAACGCTAGAAGGAAATTTCGATAAAACTCTTGTACAATTGTGTAAACAAAATCCGCTCTGTTGTGGGTGCTGGTAGAGAAGGGTCAGTGTTGACCTTACTATGGAAGTCAGGTAACTAACACTTGCACACGTCTATGAAAACACCCATTCCCCCCCCCCCCCCAACACGTGCACCAGCCGCTAGCAAGCGTGACCCCCAACCCACCTACAGCGGCAGATGAGAGCAGCAGCCATAGCCAATTTCTTCAAGAGTGGTGCTGGAAATTAGAACATCGCACGAAGGCGCTACCCACCAAGGCCTATTCGGTGTCGGATGAATGGTCGAGTCATTAAGGGCCCACAAAATACTTTAGTCCGACAATTAGTGCAAGCCACACTAAGCTAGTCTCCCTGTTGTGTTAGTTTCATAGGGACATCTAGGAGGGAAGATATGGATCGGACTAGGGATGTAAACAATGAGGGAAAAAAAGGTTCATTAGAGGAACGCTAGTTGCAAGGCAACTAGCATAATAAAACAGCCTGGATGACCTATAGAAATGCAAAAATTCAGGAAGAGGTGGAGAGAATGGGAGAAGTATAACAGGTACTGAATGAAGACTTAACTTCACTACAAAGGCAGCTTCAAAAATTACACATTGATCCTAAAATTAAATAGTAAAACTGAAGCAAGGAAATCTCTCAGCAGGGAGAGAAGTGTGTGAAGAGGTTATATTAACTAGAGTAAAGGCAGGCAACAAAGGAAGCGGACAGGATAACAGTCGAGAATTAAACAGGAAAAGAGTAACAGATTGAAGGGAAAAGACAGCAAACAAGTATTTGTAAAAAGTTCAGAGGGAAAAATAATAAAGGCAACAGTGTTAGACTAAAAACTTCCCAAGCCACAAAATGTACAAGGCAGAAGCTGGAGTGTATGTGGTGGTAATCTTAAACCTATCAGAGCCCGAAGGGAGAAACAGAACAAAATGAAAAATTCTACACAAAATTCAAGCCAGAGACGCAACAAGGAATATAAGAGCAGTTTTGCAAGCTAGGCAAGTTTCACAAATCAACCAGCAAGTTATTTTTATGAACAGCAAACCAAATAATAAATACAAGCTGACGAGATTTGAGGAACGAGGAAAAGTACAATAATTGGACATGTCTAAAGAGGAAAGTGAGGCAACAGTCTGGAAAGAGAAGCAAACGAGAAATGCAAAGACCAGAAAATGGTACAAATGGGGCACAAGATGAAGCAAATCTGGCAACAGTACAACACAGGGAAATAGTGGGACTGACCAGCTTAATGCAACGGCACTATAAGAGTAGGGCTCCTCAGCTAAGGAAGCATGAGCAGGCAAGAGACTAGTTCACCCTTTCATGTTCGTTCATGCCAATCTAGGTGGTGGTAGACGAAAAAGTAAACCCCATGAACAGAATGCAGGCAAGCTAAATAAAGAACAAGGAAAGCCAGGAGAAAGTCCAGAGAACTAGTAACAAAGGACGAGGCGCCAAAGAAAACTAGAAATCAACACCCGAGTTAAGCTGATTTAAGAAATTTAAGAATTGCTGCAAAAGCTAAGGAACAACCAAAGCTGTTCTAGACACTCGCCTGGCGTTTCACGAGCGCTTTGTCCTAGGATCGTATCCAAGCCGGGGAGGATTTACTGGGCGTCAATCCTCAACTGTAGCCTCTGTTTACCCAACAGTAAAATGGGTACCTGGTTCTTAAACGATTTGGCGACTTGTATTCCGGTTAATATTAGGATTAAGGACTTGCCCGAAACTCTACGCGTGCTAGTGGCTGTACAAGAATGTAAGAACTCGTATGTATAAATATATAAAAACTAAATCTAATTTATAATAGTTCAAAGAAAAATGTAAAACTTATAATACTCACTATAAAGAGCCTCAACAAAGGTTTGAGGTGCAAAAGTATGTTGAAGGTTGCATTCTAGGTGGCCTCATTGTGTCACGTTTTCATCTTGCCAGCAGACTGCTGCCACTATCAGCTTCAAAAATAGGGTTCCAACTTCCACAGGATCTGGGGAAATTTTACGTATTACAAAAAATCTAAGCACCACTTAAACTGGGTAAACGCAGTCACTATTCACAAAAATAGTTAAAAAAACAAATATAGCGTGGTTCAAATGTCTCCATACATGCATCAATTGTTTTAGCACCAGTTTTCGGGTTGCTGGATTAGTCTCCATAGTCCCATGGAGACCTCCGAGGTCCTCAGATCATTGTTGTGGCCTCTATGTGGACACTAAAGCCACGTTGAATCAATTATGAAAACGCTCCGCCGAGCCAGGTGTATCGGGGAAAATTAGTGTTCTAAAAAATTTCGCGCATGACAGCGGGTGTTGAAATTGCATGACTGGATTCATGGTTCCCCGAGACTAGGATGTAATGAGATCGAGATTTTAAAAGTGCCTTCAGTTTTTAAGATCACTAATGCAGAAAAGTAATTTTAGGAAATCAGTACAAGCAACTGTATTGTCCAAACTAATACATTTTATGGAAGTGAATGGGGTGACAGCTGACATTAGTGCCGGCCATATTAAGGCACTAGATAGCTGGCTGAACGAGGAGTGGCCTTTGTCTAGTTAGCATCACGATAAATCCAACAGGCGAGAGAAGCAGCTAAACTTTAAAAGTTAGTTTGTCACTTAAATGATCAGATTTTGGTTAAAAGTAAACTATAATGGACTAATAAGCCGTCTTTATATAGGCCCAACATTTACAATGAAAGTCAGGCATATATGGGTGTAAATATATACAGCATCCAAACTTGACCCGACTTCATTGCAGTTACATAAGATTGCATAGGGATTCAAACAGGAAAAACCCATTAGATCTAAAGAGGGTACTCGAATGAAAGCTTAGTGGTACAAACCATGCTAGTTTAGAAATCGTTATAAGTACATGACTAAATTATTTGGCAAACTATACCATGGTTTACCGTTCTAAAAGATACGAGGCAAGTACAAAAAATTGCATTTTATTTAATGATTAGAGCCCGCCAACTTTTCCGACCCACGGTCTCCAAGCAAAATTTGACAGCGATGTCAAGAATAAAATTCAGTTTGATTTCGAATGTGAAAGTCAGATCTGAAAATTTGTTTAAGGATCATGTACACGAGTGTGAAGTTTGCGAAAAGCAAGAACCAATATTACTAATGGTCATTATGAAGACTGCTTCTAGGCTCGTCAGTCCTTTGTAAATGGTTAAACACTTGACTAGACTTTACTTCAAAATAAATAATCAGAGGTTATTTTCCTTCATATATTAGTCTATTTAAATAGATACATGCTGCCCGCCCTCGCTTCTCTGACATTGCTGTAAGCAAAATGTTGCCAACGCCTGATTTAGAGAGAAGGCAATGTAAAATTTAAATGTACTTCTAAATAGTCTTGGCCTTTATTGACATTCAAAATCTTTTGAAAAGTTTAGCTCTAAACGGATGTAAGAAATTCTAATACAGAACGTTCTAGTGAATTTATGAATAGTCTATCGTCAATTTTTTATTTACAGTTTAAAGCCACCAAAGTATTATTCATACACTAACGTTCCCTTTCATTCTGCCCGAAACGCTGCGCGTACTAGTGGCTTTACAAGATTGTAAATACTATGCTATGTATTCTCACAAACCCAATGTACCTTGTATATAAATAAAATAAATATTCGTGTTCAGTTTAGCACTTCACACTTAAGCATTAAAACTTCCTTTTAGCTCAAAAATTTAAATATAACATTCACAAATTATAATGGCTTGGAAATTGGTTTGAAAACTTACATATCTCAGGGGAACAATTGGCATGGGCTTAATATATTGTTCGAAGGTTATGAGTTCGGTTGATTAAAACCATTATCGCATGCGTTTAAAAGGCCTCTTGCAATTTTCTTTTGTACTTGTTATTTTACTCAAGTACTTCCTAGTTAGCATCAGCAAATATATATTGTACAGCTTAAGCCATTTACCAGTCAAAAAAATACCATATAAATGCCGTATTCAACCTAGGTCCAAAAGCATTTCCATTTAAAACTAGAGTTTCCTGCAGATAACTAAATACACTGCTATACCATGCGATTTTCTTTAAATTAAAAAAAATATTTTGACGAATATTATCAATATAAAAGCCAAAATATAGTAATTTCTATTAAAACTAAAAAATGACTTCATAATTTGGTCAAATTACCCTGTCCATGTATGTCAACTGCTGACGTAAAGATTCTAGTTTTACTCAACTGGAAGGGAAGGGGGGAGGGGGAGGGGGGGTTGGGGAATACGGGCAAACCGATAAATTGGTAAAATGAAAATAATTATTGCAAGTGTTTACCAGTGAACACCTAGCCAATCATCCCAACGGACGGCGACGAAAGGAGTTTAGTTATTAAACCATATATACAAATTGTCAGGACCAAAATATGTTAATATTTTTTAGGAAAGCATAGAGGAAAGATTTAGGTGTATGTACGGCCAAGCCCTACATAGTTTTACATGCAAAAACTATCGATAGAAACCCTACACAACGAAAACACTAAATCAGTTTGCGAAGCTTCATGTTCGAAATTACACGGGAAGGGGGGAGGGGGCGAGTAAGATTCCGAACACATTAATAACGTAACATTTCCAACACTAAACCGAATACATTACTCGCAATGAGATAGTCCTTACTTGGGAAAGTTCCCAGATCTATAGATATATTATTCCAACAATTATCACGGAAAGTAATTACATTTTGACAAACTAAATATAACAGTAACGATATAGCACAAATGGGCCCCATACTTGCAAGCTCACAGCAGAGTTACTAACTTTAATACCATGTTGGGTGTAGTTGCTGGAGTGACGGGCCCGACGTCCGCGTCCAGTGACAGTCAGCCAAATACTAACGCGGGCCGGCAGTCCGGCTGCCGCCCATGCAGTACCATCAGTTCTACCCAATAAGAACAGTCCACGTCATTAATGACGTCACAATCCTATCAAACGTCCTCGTATTGTGCTTTATTTGCATCAAAAGTTATATTACATTTAAATGAAAGTACTTGAATAACATAAATAAATACTAATGATAATTACAATATAAATAATTATAGAAATAAGATAACGTTAAATGCCACTGACTTAACTACTTCCCCCCCAAAACTACGGTCGTTAACCCCCCTCCCTTGTCGCCCATACAACCAACCCTACAAGGAGGGCGAGCCTCAACCACACCAGCAGATCGCTTCTAGTCCTTGTCTTAATGACACAACTTAACGCTCGTTGACCTCTGATTGCTTGGGATTTAGTTTTCAGTGTCCTAGTGCAGCGTCAAGAGTTACTATACGGTGGGAACATTTTTGGTTACTCAGTCTGTTTTGCTTTTAGAATGTTTGGTAATATGTTTATTGTTTGTGATGTGTATATGTATGTATTAACACGATGTGCTGAACGGGGTGAGAATAGCTTGAGCTACCTCATCCCTTTGTGTGTATTTTACATCACTAAACTTATTTAAATTGTTTTACTTCAGAGCTGTTGGAAGGAGCATTCTAAGCAAGCAATCGCCTCTACGAGGGTCTTTAAGCTGCAGTTAAGTTATTCCCTTGCAAACTTTTGTCGCTTAATATATAAATACCTTTGCATATTTTTTTTCTCCTTTTTAATGTAACTATTTTTTTCCCCTCCTTACTGTATAGTGTCTGGCATGATTCCTCCTTGTGATTATTTCCTTCTGGAATAAATTGTGCAGTTCTAAAGTAATGTTTATCGCTAGAAGGTTTTAAACAAAGGTAGAGTAGCTGGGTACAACAATGCCAGGATTGAGAATTAAACATAATGAACTGCTAAAACCATGAACTTAAAATTAAATATTGACATTGATAATAAAGTACAACATAAAAGCTGAGCTGCATGCAAGATTCCTATGATAAGTTGTAGGGTCACTCGTGTGACCCTGGTACTGTGCTGTAGCAGGTGGGGTCCTTAAGGCTGAGCAGGTGGCCAGTACCAGGGTCACTCGTGTGACCCTGGTACTGGTAACCTGCTGTAGCAGGTGGGGTCCTTAAGGCTGAGCTGATATACCTGCGGGTTCACCCACACTTAACGTTCATTCTTACTGTATCTTGCATTAAACATATTCAACATAACTACAAAAATTAACTTTGTAGTGTGAATATCTAATAACAATTCTGGGGCAAGGGTTTGTATTTTTTTTTGGACTATGCATCATGCAAAAAATTCATTATCGGGGGACAGGCAGCCAGTGTATTCATGTACGTTAGGCTTATATCGCCCTACCTCCCCCCCCTCCCTAAAGGTCGGATTGCTGACCCCGCCCATGATGCAACCCGATAACAAACCAACTCCTGATCACCTAACTGTTACACTATAGCCTTCCCGGTTTGGTGCCTTCTTTTGATAATTACTTATTACTTTCATAGGCCGGGCGTTCAAAGAGTATTCCTAAATTTAGGCTAATTTTACTTTTGTTGGGAGGCATTTGGTTAGTCGTTGACATGACGGAAGAACCGGCAAAAAAAAATATTGCCAGGGGGAACGTCAGTACTTGAGTCTTACACAGAAGCACGCGGTCGCCTGTCCCTCGATAGATTTCTTGTTTGACTGATACTTTTGATGGGTGTCCTGGAGCACTCCTGGATGTCATTGGAGCACTCCCGGATGACCCTGAAGCACTCCCACGGTGTCCTGGAGCACTCCCACGGTGTCCTGGAGCACTCCTGGATCGGAATTTCAAACTGCGAATACGTGCAGAGAGCCAGAATTTGGCTCCAAAGTATGGGTCAGGTATCGTATTTTGGACGTTTGGGATATTTTGAAAACTGCAGGGGGGTTTGGGTTAAATGTGACCCACCGCCGCTTTCAGTAATTGATATTTTCGCATAGCACTCCCAGGTGTCCCTGGAGCACTCCCAGGTGTCCCTGGAGCACGCCCAGGTGTCCCTGGAGCACTCCCAGGTGTCCCTGGAGCACGCCCAGGTGTCCCTGGAGCACTCCCGGGTGTCCCTGGAGCACTCCCGAATGTCCCTGGAGCACTCCCAGGTGTCCCTGGAGCACGCCCAGGTGTCCCTGGAGCACTCCCAGGTGTCCCTGGAGCACGCCCAGGTGTCCCTGGAGCACGCCCAGGTGTCCCTGGAGCACGCCCAGGTGTCCCTGGAGCACGCCCAGGTGTCCCTGGAGCACTCTCGAATGTCCCTGGAGCACTCCCGAATGTCCCTGGAGCACTCCCGGGTGTCCCTGGAGCACTCCCGGGTGTCCCTGGAGCACTCCCGGGTGTCCCTGGAGCACTCCCGAATGTCCCTGGAGCACGCCCGGGTGTCCCTGGAGCACTCCCGGGTGTCCCTGGAGCACGCCCGGGTGTCCCTGGAGCACGCCCAGGTGTCCCTGGAGCACGCCCGGGTGTCCCTGGAGCACGCCCGGGTGTCCCTGGAGCACGCCCGGGTGTCCCTGGAGCACGCCCGGGCGTCCCTGGAGCACGCGCGGGCGTCCCTGGAGCACGCGCGGGCGTCCCTGGAGCACGCGCGGGCGTCCCTGGAGCACGCGCGGGCGTCCCTGGAGCACTCGCGGGCGTCCCTGGAGCACGCGCGGGCGTCCCTGGAGCACGCGCGGGCGTCCCTGGAGCACGCGCGGGCGTCCCTGGAGCACGCGCGGGCGTCCCTGGAGCACGCGCGGGCGTCCCTGGAGCACGCGCGGGCGTCCCTGGAACATTCCCGGGTGTCCGGGAGCACTACCAGATGTCCTTGGAGCACTCCTGGGTGTCCTGCAGTTCTCCCGGATGTCCTTGGAGCCCTTCTAGGTGTCCTGAAGCACTCCAGGGTGTCTTGGAGCACTCCCGGATGTCCCTGGAGCATTCCTGGATGTCCCTGGAGAACTCCTGGTTGTCTTTGGAGCACTCCCGGGGAGTCCTGGAGCTCTCCCGGATCGGAATTTCAAACTGCGAATACGTGCAGAGAGCCAGAATTTGGCTCCAAAATATGGCTCGGGTATCGGATTCCCGGGGAGTGGAGCTCTCCCGGATTGGAATTTCAAACTGCGAATACGTGCAGAGAGCCAGAATTTGGCTCCAAAATATGGCTCGGGTATCGGATTTGGGATATTTTGAAAACTGCAGGGGGGTTTGGGCAAAATGTGACCCACCGCCGTTTTCAGTAATTGGCATATTTTCGCATAGCACTCCCTGATGTCCTTGGAGCACTCCAGGGTGTCCTGTAGCACTCATGGGTGTCCTGGAGCACTACTGGGTGTCCTGGAGCACTCCTGGATGTCCCTGGAACACTCGGGTATCCCTGAAGAATCCCCTGGGTGTCCTGGACCACTCCCGGATGTCCCTAGAGCACTACTGGGTGTCCGGGAGCACTCCTGGATGTCCCTGGAGCACTCCTGGATGTCCCTGGAACATTCCTGGTTGTCCTGGAGAACTCCTGGATGTCCTGGAGCACTCCTGGATGTCCCTGGAGCATTCCTGGTTGTCCAGGAGAACTCCTGGATGTCCTGGAGCACTCCTTGGTGTCCGGAAGCACTCCTGGGTGTTCTGTAGTACTCCTGGGTGTTTTTTAGCACTCTCGGGTTTCCGGGAGCACTCTTGGATGTCCCTGGAGCACTCCCGGGTTTCTTGGAGATCTCCCAGATGTCCGTGGATTACTGCCGGGTGTCCTAGAGTACTCCTGGATGTCCCTGGAGCGCTACTGGGTGCCCTTGACGACTCCCGGATGTTTTTGGAGCATTCCCAAATGTTCCTGGAGCACTCCCGGATGTCCTGGAGCACTCCCGGATGTCCCTGCAACATTCCCAAATGTCCCTGGAGCACTCCCGGGTATCATGGCGCACTCCTGGGTGTCCTGGAGCACTCCCGGACACCCAGGAGTGCTCTAGAACACCTAGGAGTGCTCCAGGGGCACCCGGGAGTGCTCCAGAACACCCAGAAGTGCTCCGGGGACATCCGGGAGTGCTGCAGGGACATCCGCGAGTGCTCCAGGACACCCCAGAAGTGCTCCATCGACATCCGGGAGTGCTCCAGGACACCTTGAAGTGCTCCAGGGACATCAGGGAGTGCACTAGGACACCCGGGAGTGCTCCAGGGACATCCGGGAGTACTCTAGGACACCCGGCAGTAATCCACGGACATGTGGGAGTGCTCCAAGACACCCAAGAGTGCTCCAGGGACATCGGGGAGTGCTTCAGGGACATTTCGGAGTGATCCAGGACACCTGGGAGTGCTCCAGGACACCCAGGGTATTCTTCAGGGATACCCGGGAGTGTTCCAGGGACACCCAGTAGTGCTCCAGGACACCCAGTAGTGTTCCAGGACACCCAGTAGTGCTCCAGGGACATCTGCGAGTGCTCCAGAACACCCGGGAGTGTTCCAGCGACGTCCGGGAGTGCTCCAGAACACCCAGGAGTGCTCCAGGGACGCAAGTGCTCCAGGACACTCGGGAGTGCTCCAGAACACCCGGTAGTGCTCCAGGGACATCCAGGAGTGCTCTAGGATATCCGGGAATGCTCCACAACACCCGGGAGTACTTAAGGACACCCAGGGGTTCTCCAGGAACATCTGGGAGTGCTCCAAGGACATCTGGTAGTGCTCCCGGACACCCGGGAGTGCTTCAGGGATACCCGGGAGTGTTCCAGGGACGTCCAGGAGTGCTCCAGAACACCCAGGAGTGTTCCAGGAACATCCATGAGTGCTCCAAGGCACCCAGGAGTGCTCCAGGGACATCCGGGAGTGCTCCAGGACACCCCAGGAGTGCTCCATCGACATCCGGGAGTGCTCCAGGACACCCAGGAGTGTTCCAGGGACATCCGGGAGTGCTCTAGTACACCTGGGAGTACTCCAGAACATCCAGGAGTGCTCCAGGGACATCCAGGAGTGCTCTAGTACACCCGGGAGTGCTCCAAGACACCCGAGAGTGCTCCAGGGACATCTAGGAGTGCTCTAGGGACATCG